CTTAACCAGGCAAGAGATACTTGGCACAAAGTCTGCTTTCTACTCTCAGCTCGCTTCCCTAAGAAAGGTCTTTTATTATTGGCCTTCTGCATGCTTTCAAACAGGGCAATGTCAGGAAGGGATTTTTAGACAGAAGAAGTATTTATTTCTTAATATTTCTAGGAAATATGAAAATGAGATTAAAGAAAACCCCCAATATAGTCTTCATTCTACAGCATTGTGATCTGGTTACTGGAAGAGGGAAAGTAATTTCACATCGATCAGTGAAGGTGAACTACAGCTAGGGGGTGCAGTGGATAGACTGCTGCACCTGAAGCCAAGACCTGAGTTTAAATCCAGCCTCAGACATGTGAAAATGGACAAGGTGCTTAACCTGTAAAGCACTTTGCAAACCATAAAAATTTAAAACTATTAAAGTTTTTAAAATACACTGAGACTTACGGGATGCCCTGTATAAATGCTAACTCTTGTTATTTTGCTAAAACCCGGATAACCAGTTATCAGAGATGCTAGAGAGATTCTTGCATCTGGATTGCACTAGATGACATTTTAAATCGTTCCCCGCCTCCCCACTTCCAACTCTGTGTTTCTCACTTTGTTAACTTTTTAAAAAAAATTTCTTGGGTATGTCTTGAAAGCCTTCCTCCCCAGCCTCAGAGAGTGTCTGTTGCCTTGGGGAAGGTGACTGACAGTGCAGATTTAAATGGGAGTAGCTGCAAATGCTAAAAAATGGAAATTTCAGGCCTTCCTTGTAACAGCCCCTGGGAAATTTTAGAGTTTTTTTTTTTAACTTTTGATTTCATTAAAGGCATTCTGACCTACAGTGTGAATGTGTAGTCTTTAAAAGTGTCTTGAAGTTGGAAAAGCAATTAAGGTTTCTGTGAGAGCAGAGGTGGAGGGAGGGGGTGATGGAAGCCACTTGGAAAAAGGCTTTTTGGTAATTTTTGTGCCCATATGCTGGACCTGGGGCTCCTACCATACAAACACAAGGAGCTTGTTCGATGGGTCCAGGGACAATTTTGATTTGATATCCAATGAGTAAAGTTACAAAACTGTAACCCTTGTAAAAGCATTTCCCAGTCTTACCAAATGGACTCCAGAACTTTTCATTCCATTTCTAACAACTTATCTCTATGAATCCGAATTCTCAGTTCTTCCCTCTATCAAATCCAAAGCAAGAATTCAAATGGAGGCTACCCACAAGGATCTTCTAAAAACTCAAAGGAGAATAAGACTACTTTACCGGCTGGCAAGTAACAGAGTCAAGGGTCTAACTAATTTATGTGACTGCGTTCTGATAAACACTGGGCAATTCTATGATATTCACAATTGTCCATGTGTACCAAATAAAGTTTTCTTTATGAAAAAGTGGGAAAGCACGGCAAACACTAGAAGTTATTTCCTTTCATACTGAGTAAGGATTACGAAAAGCCAAGAGAACCACTCCCCAGCAAAAAAGAGAATACCTACTCTATTAGGGCGAGAGCACCACCTGGAGGCCTACACAGCGCCGGCACGCTGAGTAACTAAGCTCCGGGATGTGGATTCTCCCCAAAGGTCGCCTCCTTGACCCAGGCCTGGTGCTCAGGCATCCTCAGGGAGGCCTCCTGACTCAGTCTCTCACTTAGCAGAGGCCCGATTTTCTCTTGCCTCTGACGGCTCGTTTCTGGTTCATCTGCAGCCAGTCCACAGAGCTGCCTGTGGATGTGGAAAAGGGAGAGAGGGGGCTCGAGGGTCCCCATATTTAGAAATATGAATTACATATACATACACACACACACACACACACACACATACATACACATATATATATTAATATCTTTGTCTGAGGTCCTTGGTCTGACATGAATTGACAATGTTCTGCACTGGATTATATTCTTATAAAAGGTCTAATCAGTTGGAAACAAAACTACTACTGGGGCAGCTAGGTGGAGCAATGGATGGAGCACCAGCCTTAGAGTCAGGAGGACCTGAGTTCAAATCCAGCCTCACACACTTGACATTAGCTGTGTGATCTTGGGCAAGTTACCTTGCCCCAAGGTTTGCCTTGCCCCACCCCCCCAAAAGAAGGAAAAGAATATGGCCTCGCCTTCACCAAGGGATTGGGCTATTGTGCCTCTGAAACAAAACTACTTGTAAGAACTTTGTACTCCTATTTTGATCTTGAAATTTCGTCTTTATTTGTGGCCCCTATACATTGTAACCAGACTAAGGTTTGAGCCCTGGAGATTTTCAAAAGCAGTGCAGAGCTCTACTCTTCTCTAAGCAGAGGGCCTTAAAATAATCTAATCAATAAGTTTAGTCTGACAGGTTTGGGCCAAAAATGCAGAATACGGATTTTTTTTTGGGGGGGGAGGGAAGGGGAGCGGGGCAGCAGGTAGATGCACAGAGCACTTCGCCGGGGGTCAGGAAGACCTGTTTCAATCCAGCCTTACAGACTTGCCACATGTGTAAGCTCAAGCCCTCACTCAACCTGTCTGCCTGTTTCCTCAGCTAGAACAGCAACTCCCTCCCATGGTTGTCCTGAGGATCAAGAGGCACATTTGTCAAAGGCATGGGCTCCGTACTCTTCTCCATGCCTGGCATTACCCCGGTCACCCTTTCTTTCATGGCTAAATTCCCACTTGTCCTCAGGGACTATTTCCTCTGTGAAGCGTCACCCCCTGAGATGGATCATCCTGTGTGCGAGCTTTATTCCTCCACAAGTGTCTTTCCTAAGCTCCAGGATGTGGACTGTCCCCAAAGGTCGCCTCTTCGATCCAGGCCTGATGCTCAGGCCTCCTCAGGGAGGCCTCCTGACTCAGTCTCTCACTTAGCAGAGGCCCGATTTTCTCTTGCCTCTGAAGGCTCGTTTCTGGTTCATCCGCAGCCAGTCCACAGAGCTGCCTGTGGATGCCGAAGAGGGAGAGAGGGGCTCGAGGGCCCCCAGGGTGAGGGGGAGAGAGACAGACACAAGAGTGTTTCTGAGCGGGATACTAGAGAATGAGAGGTGTCAGAGGGGAGAAGGAGCCAGGTGTGGGGGTACACATACACCCCCACATGACCTCCTCACCTTCAAAGGACAAGGAGTAAGGAGGAGTCCAGAAGTGGGAAGGGGAAGCAAAGAGTAATGCACCTGGACTAGGGAAAGTGGAAACCCACTAATATTAGTGGTAATTAGCAGTGATTCCTGGGGGGAGGTTAGCAGTAATTAGCAGTGACTCTGTTTTGGTCTCAGAGACCGAGACCCCTCAAAGACCAGAGTACAGGTCTAGTAGTCTGGAATGAATTCACAGACTCAAGCATTCTTCAAGTCAAGGTGGCAAAGATTTATTGTTATGCTTTTCAGCAGGCAAGGATTCTTAAGGAATCTGAGGATGGAGCTAGGGTTTATATGGAAAAGGGCATGGGAAAGGAATACCAGGGACATTGATGAGGTAATCTAAAAGTGCAGGTGTCTTTGGGGGCTATGGAAGGGAAAGTACAGGGAGTATACTGGACAGGGAGGGAGATGACAGAGGCATGGATCTTTGGAGTCTGGCAGGAGGAAGAGTCCTTGGGCTGGCCAAGGACAAAACTCCTTGGGCTGGGCAAGGCACCCCTCTCCCTCTGTCTAGATGAGAGAATGGGCTACAACAAGGGAAAGCTTTCTCACAAGACAGGAACTTACTAAGGAATTGGGAGGCTTCCAGAGACATGATCTGAGGACTGGGGCCTGAGCAGTCCAGCTCTGTGTAGCTGCACCAGGGAGAGAGATAAGGGTGGTGCTGGGGCCCAGCATGAGTAACTGCTAGGCACAGTGTCCTTGCGCTGGGGAGTGGTTGTCAGAGACAGTGTTTCAGAGACTAGGGAGAAACTGGGTCCAAGTACAAGCACAAGCACCTCATCGACACCTGGGGGGGGGGGTGTTAGCAGTAATTGGCAGTGACCCCTGGGGGTAGAAATAATTAGCAGTACCCATTGGGGGGGATGTTAGCAGCAATTAGCAGTGACCCCTGGGGTTAGCAGTAATCAGCAGTGACCCCTGGGGGTTAGCAGTAATTAGCAGTGACCCCTGGGGGTTGGCAGTAACTAGCAGTGACCCCTGGGAGGGGTAGCAGTAATTAGCAGTGACCCCTGGGGGTTAGCAGTAATTAGCAGTGATTCCTGGGAGGGTTAGCAGTAATTAGCAGTGACCCCTGGTGGGGGGTAGCAGTAATCAGCAGTGACCCCTGGGGGGGTAGCAATAATTTGCAGTCACCCACCAGCCCTGGGGAGGGGGCAGGGGCACTGCAGCGGGGAGGGAGGATGGGGGAGGCGCTGCCCACTGGGCAGTCACGGGAGGTCTGCTGTACACTGGGGGAGGCCAGGGACCTCGCTGGGCCCCTTGGGCTGGGGAAGCTTTATCTCGGTCCAATTATCAAATTAAGAAATACAACCTCGGAGGCACCCCGCGGAGTTCTGGGGGGAGGGGGTGTAGGCCCAGCAGTAAGCCCTTTTCGCTACACACAGTAAGTGTCGGACGCGGCATTGGAACCCAGGGCCCGCGCTCCTCGGGTGCTCGCCGAACGACCCACCGGTGGGGCGAGAAATAATGGCTGCCATGGATCCTCCCGTGGCCGAGGAGGAAACCGAGGCTTTGAGAGGTTCGGGCCTTGCCCAGGGTCGCCCCGCCACAAAGTGCCGGGGGTGGGATTCAAAGTTAGGTCCTCGCTCCAGCCTGTAGGCCGCGGGGCCCCCGTCGACTCCGAAGAAGCCTCGAGGTCCGGGTCGCGCATGCGCCTTCCTACCCCTCCGTAGGGGGCGGTAGAACTTTTCGACAGCCTCTTCTCACCTCCTGGTGACCCCAGAACTGCGGGTGGGGCGAGAGGGGAACTAGAGGTCGGGGGTCCGGATTCTACTTCCCAAAGCCCCGTGCGGAAGGCTGGGGAGGGCGCACTGATCCGGGTGGGGGTGGTGGGAACGCCGACCGCGGAGGAACGCCTTCCGGACTCCCAGGAGGCGGACTACACTTCCCACAGGCCCTTGCGGAGGGGCTGGACTTCCGGTGACGGAACAGCGGCGGAAGCAATGACTGAGGCAGTTCCGGCGGAGGCCCAGGTTCGGCCCGCTTGCCATGGAGGAGATCGGCATTCTAGTGGAGAAGGCGCAGGTCCGGGGTGGGGGTGGGTTCGGCGGCCCCAGCGGGGGAGCACGGGGTAGGGGGTGGGCGGTGGAAGCCGGGTTGGGGGCGCCAGGGCACGGAGGAGCGGGGCCGGCACCCCAGGTGACCGCCCTCGCTCCTCTTCCCCGGCCCTCAGGATGAGCTGCCGGCCCTGTCCATCTCCCGGCCCCAGACCGGCCTGTCCTTCCTGGGGCCCGAGCCCGAGGACCTAGAGGACCTGTACAGCCGCTACAAGGTGAGCACGGGGACCCCGGCCGCCCCCCTGGGAGGGGAAGCCCTCGGTGCCCGCCGCCCTGCGCGTATCCAGCGCCGGCCCCGGGCCACGCACACCGGGTGGTAGCTCAGAGCGCCGCCGCCTTGGTGGTCCCTACAGAAACTGCAGCAAGAGCTGGAGTTCCTGGAGGTGCAGGAGGAGTACATCAAGGATGAGCAGAAGAATCTGAAGAAGGAGTTCCTGCACGCTCAGGAGGAGGTGAAGCGCATCCAGAGCATCCCCCTGGTCATCGGGCAGTTTCTGGAGGCCGTGGACCAGAACACAGCCATTGTGGGCTCCACCACTGGTAAACTGAGGCCCAGGCACCCTCCCGTTGGAGAGTTTTAGAGCTGAGAGTGACCCCTCAGTATCAGGTTGGCTGCCCTTCTTCTCCTGAGACCTGAGCTGACCCAATGCCCCTTGGGGAGGGGTCCCATTTCAAGCCTTTGTTGTACCAGTGGGAGACTTCACCCTGTTGCCCAGCGGGTGAGTCCCTGCTTGCAAGTGCATGGGAGGGAAGGGGCCAAAGATGGGCCTCATTTTCCCCGCTTGCCTCCTTACCTTTCTCTCCAGGTTCTAATTACTATGTCCGGATTCTCAGCACCATTGACAGGGAGCTGTTGAAACCCAATGCTTCTGTGGCCCTCCACAAACACAGCAATGCTCTGGTGGATGTTCTGCCCCCAGAAGCTGATAGCAGCATCATGATGCTGACCTCAGGTGAGGAGAAAAGCCTCCCTTACCCCTGCTGATATCTGACTTAGCCTGCCACCTTAGGCGAGGATCATCCATCTAGAGCTAACGGAGACTTAAAAGGCCACGTAGTCCACCCTCCCTCCTCTTAAAGAGGGAGGAAACTGTAACTCGGGAAGGTTTCAATAACTTGCCCAGGTGACCCAGGTAAGCCCTGAGATTCGGACCCAAGTTCTCCGGGTGAGTCAAGTCTTTCTGCCTTGTACTGCCTTGAGAGAACAGAGTCCTGACTACGAAGGGCCAAGTCTTAAGGTCGTGTGTCCCTCCAGACCAGAAGCCTGATGTCATGTATGCTGATATCGGAGGCATGGATATTCAGAAGCAGGAGGTGAGGGAGGCTGTGGAACTTCCGCTGACCCACTTTGAGCTCTATAAACAGGTGAGGAGAATGCATAGAAATAGGGGTAAAGTGCATATTTGGAACCTTGGCTTGGACTCCTTAACTTGCTCTTCTCTGGGGTTTCAGATTGGAATTGACCCACCACGAGGAGTCCTTATGTACGGGCCCCCAGGCTGTGGAAAGACTATGTTGGCAAAGGCTGTGGCCCATCACACAACAGGTGAGAGATCCTTGTCCACAAATATGGGATTCTTTTATTTGAGTTCATCGCTTTGATTTACTGTCTCCTCATTTTGACAACAAGCATTTATTAGGTACTTATGCTGGGTATTGGGGGGTGGGGAGGTGGGTGGTACAGAAGAGGGGGAAAATCAGTTCTTGCCTTAAAGGAGTTTTTAAGTTTCTGATTCCTTTCTCCCTTCTTCTTTTAGCCAGACTCTGATTCAGTAGTTCTGGACCGGAGGCACTTAGAGACGTGAAAAATACTTTGTTCTTGTCTGGTAGCCCTGTAAATTCTGTGGCCAGTAGATTTTTCTTTTCTGCTCCTGTTGTTATAGGTGGCACAGTGTATATATAGAGTGCCAGGCTTGGAGTGAGGAAGGCCTAAATTCAAATCCAGCCCTAGATATTAGTAAATATCGGCATGATCCAGGGCGAATCACTTAACTTCTGCCTCCACTGTAACATGGAGATAATAATCACCACTACCCTACAGGGTTACTGTGAGGATCCAATTACGATATTTGTAAAGCACTTAGCACACTGCCTAGCACATAGTAGGTTCTTCATAAATGCTTATTTCCCTTCCCCCTATTCAGAACCTACTACTAGACTTGTTTTCCCCTCTCCTGTGATAGGGGAACACAGGGGAGGATGGGAATTTCAGGCTTCTGAGGAAAAGGTGTGATTTTGTGCCTTCTTACCCCCAGCTGCATTTATCAGGGTTGTGGGTTCAGAATTTGTGCAGAAGTACCTAGGTGAGGGACCTCGAATGGTTCGGGATGTTTTCCGCTTGGCCAAAGAGAATGCACCTGCCATCATTTTCATTGATGAGATTGATGCCATTGCTACCAAGCGATTTGATGCTCAAACTGGGGGTGAGTAAATGTGCTGCTGGAGGTTGGGAGGGAGGATGGGTTTTGAACTTGGACCAGGAGCTGGGTCCCAGACTCCAGTCCAGGAAGGAGGGCTCTTGGACTGACTGTGGGACCTTCTTTCCAGCTGACCGGGAGGTTCAGAGGATCCTGCTTGAGCTTTTGAATCAGATGGATGGATTTGACCAGAATGTCAATGTCAAGGTTGGAGGATTGGGTGGGAAACAGAAAGGGTACTGGAGCAGGGCCAAAAAGGTGGTTGGGAGGCCATGTGAAATTCTGGGAGGATAGGGGTCTGGAGGATAAGAGGGCATGATGTCTTCTCCAATACCAGGTGATCATGGCCACAAACCGGGCAGACACTCTGGATCCTGCCTTACTCCGGCCTGGCCGGCTTGACCGTAAGATTGAGTTTCCATTGCCTGACCGTCGACAGAAAAGATTAATTTTTTCTACTATCACCAGCAAGATGAACCTCTCGGAGGAGGTTGATCTGGAAGATTGTATCCTGTTCTAAGGACGGATATGGGGAGGAACTTTTTTCTTTACCTGTGTACCATCCTATTCCCTACCATCCTATTCCCCTACCTTCACCCCAACTTGCCATCCCCCAGTGGTAAAAAGTCACCTAGTCTTTACCACTATGCCTTATATTCTACATGGAGAAAATGGAGGTGAAGGGCAGTCCCTGGTTTTCCAACTAGAGACCAGTTACCCGCCTCTATGTTCTTCAAAGAACCATTTCCTTGACTCTTCCTCCCATAGATGTAGCCCGCCCAGATAAGATTTCTGGAGCTGATATTAATTCTATCTGTCAGGAGGTGAGTGATTTTTCTCCCCATCAAAACCCTTATTCTGCCTTAATAGATGTGTATAGATCACCTACTACGCCTGGTTTTTTCCCCATTTTCCCTTATCTCAGTAATTTAAAAGTCATTTTCGCTATGTTTTGTACAGGGTTGGATACAAAAATAAGACAAGGTGGAGAGGGAATAAGCATTTATATTTTTGTTGCTCAATTTTTTAGTTGTGTCTGATTTTCATTACCCCATTTGGGTTTTTTGTTTTGTTTTTTGGCAAAGATATAAGAGTAGTTTGCCATTTTCTTCTCCAAAGCATTTATGTAGTGGCAACTATATGACGGGTACTGTGCTAAATACTTTACAGATAATCTCTAATCCTTATAACAGCCCTGCAGGCTAGTTACTATTATTATCCACATTTTTACAGTTGTGGAAACTGAGGCTAACAAGTTTAGTGACTTGCCCAGGTTCATGTAGCTAGTAAGTGTATAAGGCTATATTTGAACTCATCTTCTTGATTCCAAACCCAGAGTTCTGTGCACTGTGGCACCTTTTACCTGTCAGCATGGCCTTTCCAGGTCTGAGGGTGCTGAGAAAGAGAAGGCATTTTCATCCTTCGTCTTTAAATATACATGTCTGAGATGTGGGTGTGTTTTGAGGAAGACTCATGTATTAACTCCAGGTTCCCTGTTCTTCCAGGGTGGAATGTTAGCTGTTCGTGAGAATCGATACATTGTGCTGGCCAAAGATTTTGAGAAGGCATACAAAACAGTCATTAAGAAGGATGAGCAGGAACATGAATTCTACAAGTGACCCCTGATTAAGTCCAGGGGCTTCTTCCATTTTACTCTCCCCAGGTACCCCTACAGCTCCCAGGGGCTAGTCCCCTTCTTTCTCCATGTATGGAATTGTTTTCTTCAATAAATTTACAAGATTGAATCCACATTTGGGCCAAGTCACAATGAGGTATTAAGCCTAGGCTAAGAGCTCTCTTTGCCTTTCTCTTGGTTCCTGTCTTCTCCACCAATCCCGCCCCCATCCTTTCTTAGTGTTAAGGCATAAAGATTTGAAAAGTTTATTGTAACGAAATACATAATAGAAACACAGGAAAAGCATAATCTCTCCAAACTAAACCTCAGAACATTTCCTAACTATTCAAATCCCTCTGCTGAGAGCCTTGTGCCTATTCAGTTACTCTTTGCCCCATGCTCAGAATAGTGATTAGGCAGTAGTCAGGCTGGCTTTTTGAATGCTGCCTCGCAGTGACCAGAGAAGAACGGATCCCATTTCTTCCTATGTGTGTCACCTAGTACAGGCTATGTGTACTTATATTGTATGCTTATATTTGATCAGATTTGGCAAATTAGCCCATAGTCCTTGACATGTGTAAGATGTCCCGCTAGTTCATTTACATATGCTAAGGTCTAACTTATGGGTAAATCCTTGACTATACACATAGGGCTTCTCTCCCGAGTGTGTCCGCCTGTGTGTGATGAGGCTTGACGTCTGTGCAAATCCTTGCCCGCACTTCTCACACGCGTAAGGCTTCTCTCCCGAGTGTGTCCGCCTGTGTGTGATGAGGCTTGACGTCTGTGCAAATCCTTGCCCGCACTTCTCACACACGTAAGGCTTCTCTCCCGAGTGTGTCCGCCTGTGTGTGATGAGGTTTGACCTCTGTGCAAATCCTTGCCCGCACTTCTCACACACGTAAGGCTTCTCTCCCGAGTGTGTCCGCCTGTGTGTGATGAGGTTTGACCTATGTGCAAATCCTTGCCCGCACTTCTCACACACGTAAGGCTTCTCTCCCGAGTGTGTCCGCCTGTGTGTGATGAGGCTTGACCTCTGTGCAAATCCTTGCCCGCACTTCTCACACACATAAGGCTTCTCTCCCGAGTGTGTCCGCCTGTGTGTGATGAGGCTTGACGTCTGTGCAAATCCTTGCCCGCACTTCTCACACACGTAAGGCTTCTCTCCCGAGTGTGTCCGCCTGTGTGTGATGAGGCTTGACGTCTGTGCAAATCCTTGCCCGCACTTCTCACACACGTAAGGCTTCTCTCCCGAGTGTGTCCGCCTGTGTCTGATGAAGACTGACTTGTATGTAAATTCTTGCTTACATTCACCACACTTGTATGGCCCAAACTCTTGTTTATCTCCCTCTTGGAATGCCAGTGCGGTCTTTTTAGTGCTCTTCCCCTGGATCCTGCTGAGATCCCACTCCCCAGAGCTGCTTTCCTTCTCTCTCACTTGCAGGCTCTGAGGCAGCCTATGCATTTCCCTCAGATCCACTTGTCTGGTGTTCCCGCACAAGGAACTAGAATGTTCTTTTTGTAACATTTCTGCTTTGTCACTTACACACCTGTAACCAGGTAGAAGCAGCTGGTCTGGATGGAGATCTAGCTCATAATTATTTCCTGTCCCTGAATCCAGGAATGCTTGAGGGGGATGTTTGAACAGCATGTGTTGACTGAGGAAGGCATGAGTGGAGAAGCCCAGAGGGCAGGAAGGGCAAAGATAGATTCCTGGGCTTTCCCCTAAAGAAGAAGAAAATTTTGAGTCAAAGCCTTTCCTTACTGCCTGATGACAGTTTGCAGAACCTCCCGTTCTTTCTTCCCATGTTGCTGCCCCCTAGCATGTCCTGCATCCATTATCATTCTCATGTGCCTCTGGCAAATGTCTTGATAGATATGCTTTGCCTCTGAAATCCCTGAGTCAACCCCATTTGTATTCCCTGACGAGCCACTTGGGGTTATGACAACTCTTACTGTAGGTGATCAGTGTCCCCTCACCTAGAACAGAGTTCACTTAAGCTATCATAATGGGACTTGGTCTGGATAAAGATGACATTTCTCCTCTGGGAGGCTAAGATAAGGCACAACCTGAATTACTTTTTGAGGGAAACTTCTGCTCCATTTTGTGACCCTGCTTACAGTCTCTTTCATCCAAAGGCACGTTAGGTACTATTTCTTCAGTGTTGTCAATGACCCCTATTGGACAATGAATGGGACCTATAGAGGACCTAGAATATAGGAGTTCAAACAGCATTGAAGCAGTGCTGATTGCAATATAATTCCAACAGGCTGCATGTGATATTCAGTAGGAGCTGCCTGAACTGAAGTGCTATGTCAAAAAATACATTGAAGTCCTTGGAGTCAAAAGACTTGCATTTGAATCCTAGCTCTCTTTTTGGCCCTGGGCGCATCATCTAGCCTCCCTGAGCCTCAGTTTCCCCATCTGTAAAATGAGGCTAGCAAAAATTATACTTTGTAAATTGTAACATCCTATATGAGTTATTCCTGTGATTCTTCTACTAGTATCTTACTCTGATGCTCGCCTCCTCATGGCTTCTCAAAGATTATACCAACAGGGCACAAGCTTTAGCTTGTTGGGTGCCCCCTAAACTGGACCAACCAAGCTAAGTTCTGATGGGCTTATAACCAGATTGGCTGCAAAATGAGTCTTGCCTGCTAAAGTCACAGTGAGGCAATAATCTGCAGCAGTAGAGGAAGTACACGCTGAAATCAGCACTCTGAAACACTGAAATATCAGTATTAACTTAAAACTTTGTGGCCATAGCCTTGATTTGGAAAAAAAAAATTCAGCACTTAGCAGTTGGCACCACAGAAAGTATCAGGATGTGCAAATAGACTGATTGCATGTGTGCAGTGTGGGAGAGACCACCGTCCACCGTTCTTGCACCCAGAGGTAATGGATGTGGTAGCCATGTCAAAAATCTACATGCATCTATGTAGGAAAATCAAATGAATTGGGTTTTTTGATGTGTGGATACATGTTTGTTGATAATCACAGGGCCATAATTTCTAACATTTCTATAAACCTCACTAATTCATAGTCAATCAACAAGTATTTTCAAATACCTACTATGGCTAGGCACTCAAAGTGCTGGAAACACAAAGATAGAACATCTACTAGAGTAGAAACTTAGATTCTGGGGAGAGGCAACAGGTGTGAGGATAACCCTCTAAAAGATGGATGCAAAGGAATTTGGGGGTGAGAGGTACTGGCCACAGGGGGGGATTTGGAAGGGCTTCATGTAGCAAGTGGTGCATGAAATGAATCTTGAATCTTGAATTAATGATTCTTGGAGGCTGAGTCAGAAAGAGCCTCACTCCAAGCATGGGAAAGTGGGGCTGGGGAGAAACCTGGGCCCAAGAGGGTCTGAAGGAGAATCAATGTATAATAAGCCATGAAGAACAGGCTTGGGAGAAAACCAGTTTGAGTTGGTGAAAAGACTGAATTATAAAAACTTCTGAAAGAATGCAGTTTGGTTACTTTTAAATATGTTATAAAGTGACCTATAAATGAAATGAAGTTAATGAAAAATGGTAACTCAGTGGAGCCTACCTTATAAATTGCAAGTCTTTTTACATAAAAACAAATTCCTAGACTGGAGACAGAAGGAATCCTTAATTTTTTGAGGATTTGGTTGGAAAGAATACTGATCCTCTATGAAAAGGAAAAAGTTATTTTAATATTTTGGCTCAATAAAAGGCATGAGAGGTGTCATAAAGAGAGAGCTGACCTTGTGGTCAGGAAGACTGGGCTTCACGTGCTATCCTTGACTTGGGTACGTCATAAGCAAGTCACTTAAACTTTCAATGTCTTCAGGACATAAATTACAGACAAGTTGCCAGTGTGCCCTGGAGGAAGGGGTTTCTACATTGGGAGTTCCATACAGAGATGAAATCGCAGATCTGAACTCTGTTCTCCACTCCCATGCCCTAAATCACATATATTGTCATCCAAATTATTGCTAATGAACAGAATCTGGATTAATTAGGTCTCACTCTGTTATGGGCAGGGAATCTGGATTTAACTCATGTTTTATCAACTTCCGTGCCCAAGGTCCTGTGCAGAAAGGACACAAAAATAAGGCCCCAGCTGCTCACCTGTCAAAGCAGTGAGTGGCCTTTTCCACTTGCTGCCCCACTTGATGCCCAGTTCTTGACCATACTCATCCCCATACCAGACGAGGAGTTCACAACCAGGCCTAATGACCTGGCAGGTCCGGTAGAAGATTTGTCTGCGGTACTGGAATGCCACCAGGTTCTGCTCCTCCTCGTCTCGGGCACAGTTCACGTATCTGAGGTTGGCATATGGGGAAGGGAAAACACTGGCTTGAAACACGGCCTTCTCATGGGATTTGCCCCTATGGCAATCCCAGTTCTTCTTCCAGACATTCAGTAGCCTCCGTAAAGGTCTCACCCCACTAGACTTTTGTTGCCTGACGTTCACACATGCCCCATACATTCAGGCTACTAAGCTATTCCCTTAACCATATAATCAACTGTGGCTTGCTAACTGCTTTACTTGGGGAGGAGGGGTAGGGGAGGTGCAGTGGGGAAGGCAGGGACTAGTCTCACAGGAGCTCCAGGCTAGATGCACTCAATACTTTTTAACTGGACAGGAGTTTTTCCCCCCAGACCCAAAATAAGTAAAGAGATTATTGGGTAAAGAAAGGAAAGGCCTGGAGGTGGCAAATCAAAGTTGGAAAAGCAGATGGGGTAGAGGTCTGTCTGTTAGGGAGCCAAATCACATCCCTGGGGGCTGACCTATTTAGATTTTGGAGTCCAGCTATTCTCACCTCATCCAGTTAGAGCAAGACTCCTCTTTCCCATCCACATACTCATAACAGTTTCTCCCCTTGGTGATCTGGAATTCAGGGAATAACATTAAATCTATGTATTTTCACATGCAGACTGCCACCCCTTTACTCTGCATCTCTTCAAATAGGACTGATTCGGTTTATATTTTGATAGCTTAAATGTGCTGATACAGTGCTTGGTCTTTTGCATGTATCTGTCATGCCTTGTCCTAACAGGATAGAGGAGGAGGAATCCCCAGTGGGTGAAAGACATGTCTCCCCATCAGACCAGGAGCTCACTGAGGCCTGGGACCTGGTTTTCTCCTTCCTATGTATCTTCTTCTAACCAGTGCCTAGGACAGAGCCTTGAAGCCCCAGGTGCGCCATACTTGGCATTATCAGCCTAAGTTGCATTCGTATGGTAAGCAGTGCTCTACAAGAATAGGGACTGGGATTGAGGGGAAGAAGAAGAGGGCCAGAGGGCAAGAGTGGAAGTCAATCTTACCATCCATGAGTATCCGCTGTTGGCAGCCTCGTCATCCTCTGTCATTTGCCCTTTATAGGGCCCGAAGTGCAGACCCAGGGGTAGATTTGAGGCCTCATTCCATATACCAAGTCCTGCACCAGGGATCCCTGAAAGCCCAATTCTCAGGCCAGGGGGCAGGGTGATGACTGAACAATAAGGATGTCCCTTGACCATGGCACTATCCTGGACAAATTTTGGGGGCCCATGAACAGCACAGGTTTCCAGGAAGAAAGTCTGACACTCCTCACAGACTGGGGAAGGCAAGCAATGGAGACTAGGATTAGGAACAGCTGAAACTAGGTATTAGTTTGGAAGCCCACAATCCCCTGAGGAGGGAAGAGGTATGACTGTGAAGTTGAGGCTACTAGATGGCATCATTACGAAATGTTTATCCTGACCCTGAGAAATCTGGCAGGGTTGGCGTCTTGGCACTAGGAAAAGGTAAATGTTTGATAGAGAGGAATGGGAGGGCTACTCACAGAGGTAGTCATCATCCTGAGGGTCCCAGATTTCTTGGTACACTTGATACTTTCGTTCCCTCAAATTGTACATATGGACTTCAGCCTCTTTTCTTCTGCACTCTGGAATAGGGTCAATGACAGTAGTGGTGGGAATAAAGTAAAGGCAAAGAAGTGGTCTCTGTCAGGTAAGAAAACGTACCTTTCTCTTAAACTCCCTACAGGGATCTCTTATTTTCAGCTCTAAGAAGGGCAGGGGCAAGGGCAGGGCAAGAATGGTGCCTGATTGTCTACAGCTATTTCATGATCCAGTGTCAGGCACAGGCTGTCCCCTCTCTCAGGTTCAGATTTTCAATCCTTTTCCTTCATAAAAGGACAACCACTTATCCTTGACTGTCTGTTCTCATTTGGCTACAGACTGAGCTCAAGATGTGCCCTGGACCTGTCACAAACATGCAAGACCTCGACCAAGGCAGAAATAGGGAATTCAGATAGGGATATCAGAGGGATCAGTTCCTTAATTTCTTCCTCTTACCCAATTTTCCCTCGGTCAGTTGGTTAGTGGTACAGCTTCCATCCATCTGACCCATCTGTTTCTTGATTTCTGAGATGGTCAGGTTATTCATGACTACTGTCTTCAACTCCTCAGATAAATCCATCATTCCCTCTGCCTTGGGGTCAGCTAGTTCCTTGGCCATCTCCTCATTCTGAGGGAAACACATATCATTTATCTCACTCTCTTCCCTCTTTAATGTTTGTTATTCCACACTAAACTCCTTTAACAACACTGAAGAAAAGGAACACAACAGTGAGGGGAGCGGGCTGGCGGAGAAGTGATATGTGAAGGCTCATCAAAATCTGTGAGGGGAAATGAACACCAGTGGTAAGTGCTTCAGTAGAAAAAGAAGGAATCAGGTATTTGTGGAAATTTATGATGGGAAGGGAAGTTGTGGAGGGGTAGCCAGGTAAATAAGGATTCAGGAGTAGGAGTAGGGAGTAGGACCAGAAAAGAGAAATGAATCTGAGTCTGGAGAAAGATATAAAAGGAATAACGGAAACTGATCATAGAGGGGAGAAAGAGGAAAGAGTGCAGGCTAGAGACTGAAGAGGTAGTCCTCAGAAATTCATTTAGAGAAAATAGAGTAAAAGCAATGTTGTCAATCCATTGCCTTCATAATTCCACCAAAACTCCTCGTCCTCAGGAAGACTTTCCTGATGAGATCATAGTAGTCAGAGCTGGTAGATACCTTCAAGATCATATAGTGCAACCTCCTAGTTTTTAAAGATGAGAATGAGTATGAGGAAAGGTGAAATGACCTGCTCATTAAAGAGGAGTGCTGGGATTCTACAAAGCCAGCATTTTGTTTTGTTTGTTTACTATATAACTTTAACCTACTGATTCTCTTCTCTATTCTGATGTTTATTGAGATTATGCTTAAATTTAATTAATTTTCATGTCTGTTCTGTCTTCATCAAACTTGGAATTCTCTGAAAGTGGAGGCATTGTTTCACTAGCAGGCCAACAGTTATCCAACCCAGGGTGGGGACCTATGTCTCTCCTTTCAGACTGAGGACTCCCTTATCCTTTCCCTACTCCAAAACCTTTCCCCATCCCCCGCCACCCTACACAGTGTTTAATAGAAGGGAAACACGTCTGACCCCTGACCTTTCCAGTCTTCTTAAACATCACTCCCAAGTCCAGCTACACTGGCCTACTTGCTGTTCCTCACACAAAACACCCCATCCCCCATCTCTGTGCCATGAAATGGCTGTGCCCTGTGCCTGGAAACTCTCCCTTCTCACCTTTGCCTCTTCGAATACCTGAATTCCTTCAAAACTCAGCTCAAGTGCCCCCTTCTATATAAAGCCTTTCTCATTGCCCTCAGCTGCTCCTCCCATAATTAGCTTATGTTCATTTTGTGTATGTTCTGTATATACTTACACGTACAGGCTCAAGCGCACAAGTAGATTCAGCTATCTCTTACCAAAGGCATTTATTCAAATGGCATAGCAAGAACTGCAGTTACAAACACCCCTCCACTTAAACCTGGGACAAACTCTCTCATAAATATATTCCATGCCCACGGGGAGAGTGAGTAGAAACTTAAAGTAGTGAGATAACCCAGGTGACCGAGGCAACTCTCCCCAACTCATAGGCCTCAGCGTCCTATCTCTTTTGGAAGAGTCCTAATGAAGCTCAGCAGCGGCCATATGATCTGTACCAGCTGCTCAGCTAGGCTTGGTCTTCCTAGGACACAACATCTCTGATGGGTAGGTCAGTCGCTGTTCCCTCTGGGTCACTTCCATGTCAGTTACAGTTCTTAACCGAGGCACTCCTGTGCCCTTTCAGGAAGAGCAGAAAGCCTTGGCCTAGAGATCACTGCAGTTATGCTCCCTCAGAGCTTTTGCTCCGAGGATTGACATATTCCAGGCTTGCAGTGGGAAAGAAGTTTAGCTTTTCCTTTCAACCACTCTCATTTTTTTTCTGTTCTGAACTTAAAAACACCAAAACAAAACAAAACCTAGGAGCATTTCTATACATAGAGTAGAACACACAAAAGAGAAGATCATACGTGAAACCATTCATCTCTGTTCTATCCTGCTTGCCTTTTTTTTTTTGTGAGGTAATTGTGGTTAAGTGACTTGCCCAGAGTCACACAGCTAAGTGAGTGTTATGTGTCTGCGGCTAGATTTGAACTCAGGTCCTCCTGACTCCAGGGCCGGTGCTCTATCCACTGTGCCACTTAGCTGCCCTGATACTGCTTGCTTTTAAAAAAAGTATATAATACAACTCCGAGGTTCCACTGTACACCTGTCAGATTGGCAAAGATGACAAAAAAGGAAAATGACAAAGGTTAGAAGAAATATAGGAAAAGAGGCACACTAATGCACTTTTGGTGGAACTGTGAATTGGTCCAGCCATTCTGGAAAATAATTTGTAAATATGCCCAGAAAGTTACTGTGCTGTGCCTACCTTTTGACTGTCATACTACTACCAGATCTATATCCCAGCACCTCTTTTCTTAGTAGCTCCAACCTGCAGAATGATAAATACATGTTTGGACATGGCCAATATGGGAATTTATTTTGCTGTACTATGTATATTTGTTATGAGGGTTTTGTCTTTTGTACATTCTTCAATTGGGAGTGAGAGGCAGAGATAATAAATGCTTACAGAAATAAATAGGAATTTGTACCTTATCATAGAAGCAATAAGGAGCCATTGGAGTTTATTGAGTAAAGTAAATGGTCGCATTTACACTTAAGGAAAGTCACTTTGGTAGACATATGAGGATGGAGTGAAAGAGACAAGGATACCAACTGGGAGACCACTGCAACAATCCAAGAGACAGAGGTGCAGGTCAGAACTAAGGTGATGGCTGTTTGAGTAGAGAGAAGGAGTCAGTTGTAAGAGATGTTATAGAGATAGAAATAGCAAGATCTGGCAACTGCTTGGATACGTAGGGGAGGAGAGAGGGAGAGTTAAGGAACGAAGAGTGACACAAAAATTATGCACCTGGGAGACAGGAAGGATGTCAGTATCTTTGACAGAAATAGAGAATTTTTGGTAGAGGGCTGGGTTTTGAAAGAAAGATGAGCTGATACAAATTCAATACAAGATGTTCTTCTAATTTTGGACCTGTTGAATTTGAGATGTTTCTGGGACAGTCGGTTTGAAATTTTTTAATAGATATTTGGGGATGCAGAACTAGAACTAGGAAGAGAAACTGGAGTCAAAATTTTAAAATATATAATAAATTCAACACATTATTTTCAAAACTATCCTGATTATGTTTCCTTCTCAACTACCTTCTATACTCCTCTGAATACTTATTTAAATTTTTCAATGTCCTTTCTTCTTTTCACTCTTTTTTTGACATTACCATTGCTACCTCAACTCTCCCTAATTAAGAACATTTTTAAAAACACCTCTGTAACAGAAAAAAAAAACATGGTTAAGCAAAATAAATCCACATAGTGGCCATGTCCCAAACCCTCCTTGAGTCTGCATCTTCTACTACTATCACCTTTGTCCCTGTCTCACATGAAGAAATGGCTCTTTGATTTCATTCCATTTCATCTTCTGCAGTAGATTGTCCCCTCTATCATCTCCATTATCTTTAATCTCTCCTGGTCTACTGTCCATTTCCCTGCTGTCTATAAATGTGCATCTGTCACCCAATTCATCCTCAGTCACTATAATCCTATATCTCTTTTCCCTTTTATGGCTAAACTCCTTGAGAAGGTCTTCTATAATCAACGCCTCTGTTTTCTTTCATTTTACTCTCTAACTCTCTACAGTCTGGGTTCCAACCCCATCAACCAAAACTGCTCTCTTCAAATTTACCAATCATCTCTAAATGGCTAAATATATTGAATAAACATTTATTAAGCACCTACTATATGCCAGACACTGTGCTGAGTACTGGGGATACAAATAAGAAAAAGAAAGACAGTCCTTGTCCTTCAAGGGGCTTACAATCTAATGGAAGAAAACAATACACAAAAGGAAGCTAAAGTAGAAACCAAAGCAGAGCAGCTGATGGAAAATGAAGTTTAGCTGGAAAGTTCTAAAGCCTTCTATAAAGGAAGGTTTTGGGAGAAGTCTATTGCTCTGCCCTCCAGCCTTCCAATCAGAGGTGAAAGGCAGTCAAGGGTACTGAGAAGGTTGTTGTTGTTGTTAAAGACTTTGACCATCAGCAGATAAATTGATAGGAAAGATATTAATAATAGAAGAGAATCTGACCTCCAGATCAGGTAAAAGATTCCAAACATCTTTGATTGTTTTCCTTCATTTTTAAAGAAGACCAAAATGACATCACTATGTTAGAGTCAAGTTACAGTGTGTCTGACTGTGGCTGATCAGACCAATACAAGCTCAGAATGCTCTGCCACAGGTCAGGCACAAATAATCCATGTGAACATTTGTGGTGAATTCACTAAATTTGCACATCTTGCATTTCTTTTGAGCTACTTCAATTCTGCTTTGCTCATAGAGCACAGGACCTTCTCTGATGAGAGCATACCATGCTAGGTGGTCCTGTGGCAGTGTCTCCCATGTCACCCAATCAATGCCAAAGTTCTTAAGAGAGACCTTAAGAGTATCCTTGTATCACTTCTCCTGACCACCATGTGAGCACTTGCCCTGTGTGAGTTCTCCATAAAATAGTCTTTTTGACAAGCATACATTTGGTATTCATGTGGCCAGCGCATTGGAGTTGCACTCTCTGCAGTAGAGTTTGAATGCTTGGCAGTTTAGTTGGAGAAAGGACCTCAATATCTGGTAGCTTGTTCTACCAGGTGATCTTCAGAATCTTCCTAAGACAATTCAAATGGAAGCGATTCAGTTTCCTGGAATGGCACTAGTAGACTGTCCAGGTTTCACAGGCATACAATAATGAGGTCAGCACAATGGCTCTCTAGACCTTCAGTTTGGTAGTCAGTCTAATACCTCTTCTCTCCCATACTTTCCTTTGGAGCCTCCCAAACACTGAGCTAGCTCTGACAATGCATGTGTCAACCTCGTTATCAATGTGTACATCCCTGGAAAGTACACTGCCAGGGTAAGTGAATTTATCCACAGCATTCAAAACTTCTCCATTTGCTGTAACCCATGGTTCCACATATGGATGGCGTAGTGCTGGCTGATGGAGAACCTGTATTTTCTTGGTGTTAATTGTTAGGCCAAAATTAGCACAAGCAGCAG